TATCTATATTCTTCTGACTATTTTCTTTCTTCTTTTGACCCCACCCCTGAGATGTAAGGACTGAATACCCCTCCTTGTCTCACAGAATATCCACATTCCTCCATTTCCTGTGTCCATTGGTTTTTATTTTTTAAACAAGTATTGAGATATACCATTAAATTCACTCATTGTAAGTGTACAGTTTTATCAGTTTTAGTAAATTTAAAGAGTTCTGCAATAATCAGCACAATCCAGTTTTGTGATAATTCCACCACCCTAAAAATTTCCCTTATGCCTGTCTGCAGTCAACATCTACTCCCACCCTAAACCCCAGGTAACTTATGATTTTTGCCTTTTCTAGATATGATTTCTATATTTTTGCCTTTTCTAGAAATTTCATATAAATAGGATCATATAACCTGTGGTCTTTTGTGTCTTTTAGTTTTTTCACTTGGCAAAATGTTTTTGAGGTTTCCATGTTGTTACATGTAGAGTAGTTCATTTCTTTTTATTTGCTAATTATTTATGATATCTGCATTGATATTCATTAATGATATTTGTCCTTAATTTTCTTTTTTATGGCATTTTTATCAGGTTTACATAACAATGTTGTTTGCTTCATAAAAAGAATTTGAAAATTTTCCTTCACTATCTATGCTTTGGAAAAACTTATGTAGTATTGGGACTATCTGGTCTTGGAAGGTTTAGTAGAACTCTCTGTGAAACAATCTGGGCCTGGTGCTTTTTTGTGGAGGAGTTCCTTGATAGCTTATTCCATTTCTTACACAGAAATTCATCTGTTCAAAGGTTTCTATCTTTTCCTGGGGTCAATTTTGGGAAATTGTATTTTCCTAGAAAATTATCCTATTCTAAATTTATGTATATAGAGGTTTTAAATTTTTTTTCCTTTATTTCAATGGACATTTCCCCTTTGTCATTTCTTCTTTTGTATGTTTATGCTTGCTTCCTTTTTTCTTAAGTTAGCTAGTTATCTACTTTTTCTTAAAAAAATGAATTTTGATTCATTAATTAGAACTATGTTTTTCTGTTCTCTATCTTGTTAATTTCTGCTTTTATCTTTATAATTTTCTCCCTTGAACTTTCATCTGGCTTACTTTGTGGTCTTTTTTCTTACCTTCTGAGTTGAGATTTTAATTTTTCACTTTTCATTATTATCTTTTATTATTATGTAAGTGTTTAAGCCTATGGATTATCCTCTTTTGACTACTTTAAATAAATCCTCATCGATTCTGGTATGCAGAGTTTTGTTGCCATTGTATTTTGGGAATTCTAGAATTTCAGTTTACCTTTTCCCTTTCAACCAAGAGTTAATCGAAGATTTTAAAATTTCAGAAAGGAAGAGCCTTTTTAGGTTTGAATTTGTTGTTAATTCCTAGCATGGATGCACTGTGATCAGAGGATGTTGTTTTAATATTTCTACTTCGTGGAACTTACTGTTTTGTTTTTATGACTGTTCTATATGCACTTGAGAAGAGGGTATGTTCTCTATCATCAGGGTGTAAAGTTCAGCATAAATCCATAAGATCTCCTTTATTGATTATGTTGTTTATATCTTCTAGATATTGTTGATTTTTTTTGTTCACTTTACCTGTCTTATCCTAAGTGTGGCATATAATCTTCTATTATTCTTATGTTTCTATCTAGTTCTCTTTGTATCTCTTGTAGTTTCTGCCACATAAAAGTGACAGCTGTATTATTTAGTGCAGAGATATTCATAACTTATGTTTTCATTGTGAATCATAGCTTTTAGAATTATAAAGTCCTTCTTTGTCACATTTAATGCCTTTTGAAGGGAATTATACTTTATATGATACCAGAATCACTATCCTTGCTTTCTTATTATTTCTAACTTTTCTGAATCACTTTGTTTTAGGTGTGTCTTTTGTATATAGCATAAAGTTTAATCTTGTTTAGTGGGAAAATTCGAAAATCTTTTTCTTTTGATACATGTTAAGCCGATTCATATTGATTGATACAACTGATATGTTTAATCTCAACTCTGTCATATTGCTTTACTATACTTGTCACATATATTATTTTATATTTAATGTGTATTTCTCTAAGTGATATGTCTTTTTTTCCCTTTAAAAAAATTCTTTCGGTATTTAGGAAAAGGTTTTTTTGTTCTGGGGTTACTTTTGTATTTATGCCTTTAGTACCCTGAGTCCCCCCCCCCTTTTTTCTTACTTAACTTTTTACTATCTGCTCTGTTACTTTTATATCATATTCTTTAATACTCAACTTATTACCAAGGCAGCAGTCAACAAACTTATTCTACTTTGCCCTTTCTTCTCCCATTTAAAAAACTGCATTCTTTCTACTTTATCAGACCATATGATGTCCATATACTATTCTTCAATCTTTACCCCACCTCTGCTTTAGTCTTAGATCAATAGTTAAATATATTAAATGCTCATCATCAGACATTTTGCCAAAGTTTTCCCAGTCTTCTCTTAGTTGGATGAACATCACTCTCTAATACAAGGCAGTCAGTAGAACTTTCCATGATGAAGGAGATGTTCTATATCTGCACTGCCCAATATGGTAGCCACAAGCCACATATGGGTATTGAAATGCGTTTCAATTGAATGCGTTCATTGAAATGAAATATAGCCGCACTTGAAATGTGGCTAGTGTGACAGAGGACCTGAATTATACATTTTACTTAATTTTAATTAATTTAAATTTAAATTACCACATGTGGCTAGCAGCTACTAAATTAGACAGTGCAGTGCTCGTGGATTCATCAGGAAGGAGTCATGTGTACAATATTCGATGAGTACTTGCATGTTTAAAACTGTTTTCTATAACCTGGATACCTAAAAAACAACTTGGTTGGAATACACAATCCTTGGCTTGCACTAAAATGCTGCTCCACTGGTGCCTTTCTTTGTATGTTGCTGATGAGGTCTAATGCCAGCCTAATTTTCTTGCCCTTGTAAGTAATCCGCTCTTTTTCCCTAGAGCTTTGAGGATTTTTTTCATTTTTAAAATCCAGTAGTTTTACCAGGCTGTTTCAGAGCTGACCATTCCAAGTCAGTTTTATGAGGCAAAAATGGACCTTTAATTTATAATATACAGGTTCAGGTCTTCTTTATTTCCAAAAAGTCTTCGTCAATTACAGTTTTAAATATAAGTTCTGTTTCATTGTTGTTCTTCTTCAGGGTCTCCCATTATATGTATATTGGATCTTCTTTGCCTGTCTTCCCATTTCTTTAACTCTTTTTATTTCTTTATCTCATTTTTATTTTCTTGCTTGTTTCTCTGTCTTTCTTAGATAGTCCTTATTAAACATTCAACACATTGTAATTCAGCCTTAATTTCTTTCCTAAGTTTAATCAATTCTAATTTTATTTCTTTTAGGGGGGAAGGGGCTATTTTTGTTATTAGTTTTTAAATTTTTGATTCATTTCTTTGTTTGAGACTATTTAATTCAGTTAGAAGTGTTGTAACCAAAGGAAAACCATATGAACCAAAAGAAAACCATTTGTAACCAAATGAAACCAAAATTGCCAATCAACAAGTTATTTCTCTTTTATGGCAAAATTGCCTTACAACCAATTAGTTGTGCAGTGAAGATGTTTGTGGCAAAACTGCTTGCGGCAAAGATGTTTATGGCAAAAATACTGGACACAGTCTAAAACATCAAAGATAGGTCTATTGAAATTTGGTGTTTATTTCTTATTTAAAATTAATATGAAGTTCATAGTATTCTTTTCCTCCTAGTAAGGCCAAAAGTCTGAGTTAAGTGTGGCTTTATTTACTTTCCTTCTTAATCTATATGGTTTTCTGGGAGGATGAGTGGACAAATTCTAACTTAGGAGGCCACCATTTTCCTAGGGCAACCTGGAAGTCCCTCAAATATTTTTTATTCTTATTGTTATTACTGATTGTGATTTGGGGGTATTTTATAAACATTCTTAAAACAATCCAGGAAATATGGCAAAAGAGTAAGTTGGTGAACAAGTCTTCCTTTTGAAGATAAATCAAGTAACTTTCTTAAAACACCACGCATATGAGAAACAGATTCAGAAATTCAAGTCTCTCATATCCAATAATGAATCTAATTATGATTGAATTGTGTGAATGAATTGAGTAATATGAATGACACTATAGCTTACAGTTTTGTGGTAATTAAAAGTCCCTTCTGCCCATGCATAAATAGTATCGACCTTGAGCTAAAACAGAAGAAATTGTGTTTAGTTGAGAAAGTTATATAAAAGAAACAAACTAGAATCCAGTTTCTTTGCTATTTTTGTCTTTATAATGATAATGCAAGAACGTGACAGAGTGATTTTCCCATCTTAGGCTCTGGTAAAGTTCATTCATCCATCCATCCAACATTTATTGAGGACCACTAAATTGCCAGACAAGAGGGATACAAAGATAACGAAGACACAGTTCCCGCCTCACAGACAAGTAGAGGAAATTGACTAAGTTGCAAAAGGTTAGATACAATATGGTATCCTTTACCAAAAATTTAAAAATATGCGAACCACACTATATACACTTTAAAGGATACATGTATATGTAGTATAAACACAAAAATATGTGAGAAAATGATAATCAAATTCAGTATGGAATTTAACTCTGGGAGGGTGAGCTGGGAGGATGAAGGAAATAAAATCAGGCAGGCATACAAAGGGAGTTTCAATTTTACCTATACTAGATTATTTCTTTAAAAAAGAAAAAGATCTGAAACAAATACTGCAAAGTGTTAAGATCTGACAATGCTGAGTGGTAAGATACATGGGTATATTGGTTATGTTATGTTTATTCTTTTCTGTCATCTTAAAATATTTTGTGATTTTTTAAAAAATTTTATTTAAAATGCAGCTCAATATACTGGCATGATTTGTGGGATTTTAATTCAGAAGTTCCAGAATATATTTAAGTTGTGTAATAAACAATACAAAATTGAGAACCAATTTTAGGAATGAATAAGAAACATAGCCCATCTGAACATGTATGTCATTTTTCAGATGAAGTGTTACACGTACCTGTGAGTGCTAAATAAGCAGCAATGTACCGCTTCTCCAGGCCATCTCTAACACTCTGAATTGCACCAAAAATTGGAGGTATAATCATAATCAGGTTACTCACTGTATTCCCTGTAGGACAGAAACACAAAAAGATAATTAGATTAATCAATACCACTTTAAAGAAAGATACATGCACTTGGCCCTTAACAAAAACTAAACAGGTGACTTCTCAGAAAGATGGCAGAAAGATATTTACAAGGTGCTAAAGCAAAATAATTCTCTACTCAACAAAAATTTCTTACAAGAATCCAAGTAAAATAAAGATACCCTGAGACGAATGAAACTGAGAATTTTCAACCAGAACATCCACTAAAGAAAATTCTAAGTTCTGAAGGTAAAAAGAAAAAGTATCTCAGAAAGAACTCAAAGATACAGCAAAAAAAATGAGTTAAAGAAGGCACCCTAGGGCCGGCCCTGTGGCTTGGTGGTTAAGTGCGCGCGCTGCGATGCTGGCGGCCCGGGTTCGGATCCCGGGTGCGCATCAAGGCACCACTTCTCTGTCCATCCTGAGGCCGAGTCTCACATGCAGCAACTGGAAGGGTGTGCAGCTGTGACATACAACTATCTACTGGGGCTTTGGGGGCAAAAAATAAATAAAAAATCTTTAAAAAAAAAAAAAAAAGAAGGCACCCTACACCAATACTACTGAAAGGGGGGTCCATGGATACAGTACGACAAGATAAGACATGGAATTGAGTTAATTTTGTCTGTTGAATCAAATAGCAAAAAAATCAGGGCATTGCATTTTGCATGTCTTTTTAAAATTTCATTTTCGTGGTCATGTTTTTAGTTTCCAGTTTCTATGTTTCTAGTATAACACAAAAGGTTAATGGATCTTAATCTGGTTTTTGTTGCTATCTTTACAAAAACAAAGCTCAAACATGAATAGCAAAAAAACGATAAAAACCCCAATAGAAGAAATAAGAAGTAAAATGGGAAAAGAAATGGCTAAACTATTTTATAAATTGATTCTAAGTAGAATAAAGTGACATAATACATTCAAAATTCCAAATGAAGTATTTTCAACATAGGAGCTGATGTCAAGATAAATATCAATTAACAGACATATAAAGAACAATCTACCATATAACAACAGCATATACATTCTTCTCAAGAGAACATGGAACATTTTCCAGGATAGAACATACGTTTTTTGTTGTTGTTAGTGCTGTTGAGTTGATTTCAACTCCTAGGGACCCCATGTATAGCAGAGAACACTGCCCGGTCTTTTTGTGCCATCCTCTCACCTTCTGGTGCTATATCAGACAATGCTCCACTGGTATTCATAGGGTTTTCACGACCAATTTTTTCAGAAGTGCCCAGGTCCTAGTATGTCTAGTCTAGAAGCTCCACTGAAACCTGTCCACCATGGGTGACCCTGCTGGTATTTGAAATACCAGTGGCATAGCTTTCAGCATCATAGCAACATGCAGCAGACACAGATGGGTAGCGTGGTTCCCTGATCAGGAAATGAAGGCTGTGGCAGTGAAAGCACCAAATCTTCACCACTAGACCACCAGGGCTGGCTACTAGATCATATTTTAGCTATAAATTAAGTCTCAATAGATGTAAAAAGATAGATATCATATAAAGTATCTCCTCCAACCACATAAGAATGAAGTTAGAAATAAATAACAGAAGGAAAACTGGAAAATTCACAAATTTGTGGAAACTAACAACATATTCTTAAACAACCAATGGATCAAAGAAGAAATCACAAGGGAAATTAGAAAATACTTAGAGATAAATTGAAATGAATATATGACATACCAAAATTCATGAGACATAGCAAAAGCAATGTTAAGGGGGAAATTTATAGCTATAAATGCTTACATTAAAAAAACAACATCTTCAAGCTAAAATGAAAGGATGCTAATTAGTAACATGAAAATATACAATACACTAGTAAAAGTAAGTATATAGTCAAATTCAGAATACTCTAGTAATGTAATATGATGGTGTATTAATCCTTTAACTCTAGTATACAGGTGAAAGGTCAAAAGTACTAAAAATAACTATAGCTACAATAATTTGTTAATGAATACACAATAAAAAACTAGTAAATTGTGATACCAAAAACCTAAAAGGGAGAAGTAAAAGGGTAGAGTTTTAGTATGTGAAGTTACACTGTTATCAGCATAAAAGTGATTGCTATATCTATAAGCTGTTTTATGTAAGCCTCATGGTAACCACAAAGCAAAAACCTACAGTAGACACACAAAAGATAAAGAGGAGGGAATCAAAGCATACCACTACAGAAAATCAACAATTCACAAAAGAAGACAGCAAGAAAGGAAGAAAGGAATTACAAAACTGCCAGAAAACAATTAATAAGATGGCATTAGTAAGTCCTTACTTATCAATAATTACTCTAAATGCAAATGGATTAAATTATCCAATTAAAAGGCATATTGTGGCTTGATGGATTAAAAAACAAGACTCAACTATATGCTGGCTACAAGAGATTCATTCCAGGTTTAAGGACACACACAGGCTCAAAAAGAAGGACTGGAAAAAGATATTTCACACAGGTGGAAACCAAAAGAGAGCATGAGTAGCTACACTTATGTAAGCCAAAATATACTTTAAGTCAAAAACTGTAACAAGAGACAAAGAAGATCATTATGTAATGATAAACGGTTACTTCATCAAGAGGATAAACAGTTGAAAATATATATGCACCCAACATCAGAACACCTAAATATATTAAACTATAGATTTGAAGAGAGAAATAGACAACAATACAGTAATAGTAGGGAACTTCAATGCCCCACTTTCAACAATGGATAGATCATCCAAACAAAAAATCAATACAGAAAAGTTGTACTCCAACTACACTTGAGACCTAACAGCCATATACAGAACATTTCATCCAACAGCAGCAGAATACACATTCTCCCCAAACACACATGAAACATTCTCCAGGACAGATATGATAGGTCACAAAACAAGTCTTAGCAAATTTAAGGAGAGTGAAATCATACAAAGTATCTTTTGCAACCACAATGGTATAAAACTAGAAATCAAAAATGAAAGGAAAACTAGAAATTCACAAATATGTGGAAATTAAACAACACACTCCTGAACAACCAATGGGGTAAAGAAATCAAAAGGTAAATAAAAAACTACCTTGAAACAAATGAAAATGGAAACACAAGATACCAAAACTTACGGAATGCAGTAAAGTAGTTCTAAGAGGAAAGTTTATAGCAATAAACACCTGTATTAAGAAAAAAGAAAGATCTCAAATAAACAACATAACTTTACACCTCAAAGGACTAGGAGAAAAAAAAAACTAAGCCCAAAGTTAGGAGAAGCCAAGAAATAAAGACCAGATGGGAAATGAGTGAAACAGATCAATGAACTAAGAGCTGGTTTTCTGAAAAGATAAACAAAACTGACAAACATTTAGCTAGACTAACTCAGAAAAAAAGAGAGAGGATTCAAATAAATAAAATCAGAAATGAAAGAGGACATTACAACTAATAGCACAGAAATACAAAGGATCATGAGAGACTACTATGAACAATTATATGCCAATAAATGGAAAACCTAGAAGAAATGGATAAATTCCTAAATATATACAATCCACCAAGACTGATCAGGAAGAAATAGAAAATCTGAATAGACCAATAACAAGCAATGAGATTGAATCAGTAATCAAAAACCTACCAACACAGAAAAGCTAAAGACAAGTGCTTTCAGTGGTAATTCTACCAAATATTTAAAGAAGAATTAACACCAGATCTTCTCAAACTCTCCCAAAAAATAGAAGAGGAGGCAATACTTCCAAACTTATTTTACAAGTCCAGCATTACCTTGATACCAAAGTCAGATAAGGACACTATAAGATAAGAAAATTACAGACCAATATCCCTGGTGAAGATAGGCGCACAAATTCTCAATAAAATATTAGCAAACTGAATTCAACAGCACATTAAAAGGATCATACACCTTGATCAAGTGGGATCTATCCCCGGGAAGCAAGGATGGTTCATCATATGCAAATCAATAAATGTGATACACCACATTAATAGAATAAAAGATAAAAGTCATATGATCATCTCAATAGATGCAGAAAAAGCATTTGATAAACACGATATCCTTTCATGATAAAAACACTCAACAAATTGGGTATAGAAAGAACACAACTCAACACAACAAAGGCCATATATGACAAACCCACAGCCAACATCACACTCAAAAGTGAAAGGTTGAAAGCTTTTCCTCTAAGATTTGGAACTGCCCACTCTCACTACTCCTATTCAACCTAGTACTGGAAGTCCTAGCCAGAGCAGTCAGGCCAAGAAAAAGAAATAAAAGGCATCCAAATAGGAAAGGAAGAAATAAAATTGTCTTGTTTGCAGATGATATGATCTCAAATATAGAAAATCGTAAAGACTCCACCAAAAAAATGCTAGAACTAATCAATGAATTCAGTAAAGTTGCAGGATACAAAATCAACATTCAGAAAACAGTTGCATTTCTATACAGTAACAACAAAATATCTGAAAAAGAAATAAAGAAAACAATCCCATTTACAATATCATCAAAAACAATAAAATATTAAAGAATAAATTTAACCAAGGAAGTTAAAGATCTGTACTATGAAAACTACAAGACTTTCATGAAGAAAATGAAGAAGACACAAACAAATTGAAAGCTATACCATGTTCATAGATTGGAAGAATTAATACTGTTAAGATGTCCATACTACCCAAAGCCATCTATAGATTTGATGCAATCCCTATCAAAATTCCAAAAGCATTTTTCACAGAAACAGGAAAAACAATCCTAAAATTTGTGTGGAGCCACAAAAGACTCCTAATAGCCAAAGAAATCCTGAGAAAGAAAAACAAAGCCAGTGGAATCACACTTCCTGATTTCAACCTATAGTACAAAGCTATAGAAATCAAAACAGTACGGTACTGGTATAAAAATAGATACATAGACCAACGGAACAGAATTGAGAGCCTAGAATAAATCTTCGCATAAATGGTCACCTAATATTTAATGAGGGAGCCAAAAACACTTAATGGGGAAAGGATATTCTCCTCAACAAATGATGT